TCTAAAAGATCATTATTTTTTCCAGTTACAAAAATAACACCAAAACTTCAAATAATACAGAAATGAATAAAGTAGAAAGTTCCCTATAGTTATGGAGAAAGATGAAAGACTCAGGGGGTAGTTATAAAAGTGCAACGTGTTTCTGAAAGCCTTGGTCAGTTCAGAAATTAATAAAGTAGAAAGGGAAGGCCTGCTATGACCATGGTGGAATTAGGGGTGTTTTTTAATTTTTTTACTTGAGACTCTTTTTTATAGGTTTTTCACATTGTTGACACTGTCAGAATGCCCCACTTTTCACAGTGGTCCTGACAGGTTGTCCTGCTTCATTCCAGGCCAAGGGAGCAGTGTGTGCAGAAAGCATGTGCCCCCCAAGGTTTTGCAGATTAGACGTACAGTTGGAGTTGGATATCGCTGAGGATTGGGGTGGGGGAACAGCAGGGTAGAAGACTGAAAATGAGCCAGGACCAAAGAGGGAAAGGCCTTGAGTGCCACACTGAGTCAGTTCCAAATTTGATATCAGATCATGTTTCACTAAAGCAAAATCAAAAACCCTCTCTCAAGTCCCCAGAGTAGAGGAAGTGGTCCTGGTGTTCTGAATGGCTATGAGGTGGGGTGACCTCCCTACAAAGAAAACCATGTCTCCAGGATGTTGGTAGGGTTTGGTCCTTCCCACTGAGAGCGAGTAGACAAATTTGAATTGTTGGGGATGTAGGTTAGCAGAGGATGATCTCAAAGCCATGAGGCCCTGTTGGCTCTGTTGAGGATATTCTGCAGCCTGCCATGTTCGGGGGCCCTGCTGACCCTTGTTTCTGAGCATGGTCTGGTTGTGCTGGCCCCGGCCTGTGTTAGTACAGCAGCAGAAGTGTGGCCATGGTGGTCATGGGTTTTGTCTTTTCTATTTAAAGATGCCCCTTAACATGCCATTTCTTTAAAAAGACTGACGGTGGTCTCTGTCAGGAATTGGACACTTTGAAAGCACATTGCAGATGTGAAATTGCATTTAAACGTTTTTTGAGGAGAGACGAGGGCGCATTCCTGTCCGTCTAGGTTTGGGCCGCATGGTTGCAACAGTTTGAACTAAGCCCTCTCTCTTCTCAGAGAGCTAAACACACACCACCCAGGGGACTGCATTTTCTGCTGTGTAGTTAATTATGGCCAAATTTACTTCTCTCTGACTCTGCAGATCTACATTCATGTAGCTAAGGTAAGCAGAGTGACCTGGGCTGAGTTTTTAGTCCAGGTGCCTGCACCTCTAGACTGCTTTTTTCCTCTCCTCAGTGTTGGCCCCTTACCCCAGACCATCCTTGAATATCGAAGATGAGGGAACTGAAGCCTTGACCTAGGGCCGGATGCTTTAGTCAAGGTTACACTGCTGGTTCATAGATCTAGAAGTGTATCTAGCATCCAGATCTTCTGATGGTTTTTTCCTAACCATTTACTGTGACAAAATATACACAGCTTAAGATTTACTCCTCTTAAGCATACAGTTTGATAGTATCTGTGCATTTACACGGTTACATCACCTTCACCCCAGTCCAATTCTAGAACATTCTGTCACCTGAGTGAGTTTGCTCACCTGTTGTTCTCTGTCCACACCCTCAGCAACCAGTCCCCGGCTGCCACTGACTGCTTGAATTGTAACTGTGGTGTTCTTTCTGTGGCTTGGTTATTCAGATTTTGCCCTGCTGGTAGCCAGCAGAAGGTTCCAGATGGCTAATTTGAACGTGAGTTCAGGGGGGCAGTGGCTTTGCCCATGGTTGCTGTTCTGTGATGGTACTCCGGTCTTCACATGTAATGTCAGGGGCACAGAGTGGCCTGGTGAGGAGGAGAGGAGGACCAGCCTTTTCCAGGCAGGAACTGAAAGTTTCATGAGGTAACTCATGGCTTACATTCACATGGTTTGTGGCTGAGTTGGACTCCCACCGGGTTTGGTTAGCTCCAGCCCCTAAACTCTGCTTCAATCTCAGTGCTGTGCCCTGTCCCAGATGTAAAGAAAGAAAAGAGAACATTGCCTTATACGAAGAATTATGCCATTTACTTATATTTTTGAGAAGTATTGTCCTCAAAAGTATACAGTAGAAACAAAAGTGGAGACTTTGCTGAGGAAAATTACTTTGACTTTTTTAAACACCCTTCAATGAATTTTCACATCATGGTCTCCTGTGGCAGATGGCCACCTCACTGACAACTGGAACTACCAGCTGTTTGTTTAGTCTTAGTTGTGGGCGGCCAGTGAGCTCAGCCTGGAAGACTTGTAAAAACCGAAGCCCTCGTTTCCATGCCTTGGTTTGAGAGGAGTGGGAGTTCCTGTATCTTTGCGAGAGTCTCCGGTTCTCTGCGCCCCCACTGTGGCCCTCACCCTGGATGAATGCCACCCAGACCTCTCCACGTCCTTCCTCTCTGGCCTGCTTTGGCTCCCAGCTTTGGAGCTTTCTGTAGCAGGAGGAAGAGGAAGGTCACAGTCCTTTCTTTGTCATGGCTCCTCGAGGCATGCTTCTCCTCCCCAGGCTTTCCTTGGCTGCACCTTGAAGCATGGAGGAGGCAAGAGAGAGGCTGGACCAGCTTCTCATTAGAAGAAATGATCCCCAGGGCTTTCTCAGGGCTTCTAACACGTCTCTAGATGAGATGAAACAGAAGGAGAAAAAGAACTGCTGTCACTGTAGATGTTTCCAGTGGCCTTTCGAACATTTATTCCTCCTGGGATTGTTGTGTTGCAAGCAGCTGTGAGAGTCACGGTCAGAGGGTGCTTACCAAGCCTTATGCTCTTCTCCTAGCCTAGAAAATTAAAATTGAAGCCTGAAATGGAGCTCTTTGCCAGAATGGAAATGGAATGAAATTTCCCTCCTTCCAAATGAAACTTCTAAAGAGGAAATTTGGCAGCCCAGGAGAGCCGAGCCCAGGTTCCTGGCGCAGTCACCTACTGTTTTTTCCAGTCGTGCGCCAATCACGAAGCTGCTCTGAGTTCCTCTGGGTCCTTCTCAGATGCTCATTTCTGTCCTCGGAGATCTGCAACAGCAGATGCTTGACATGTCATTCTACAGCGAAGGATTCAACCTCTTGTTCTCTAAGACTTGCTGTTTGTAACCTTCAGGCCTCTAGTCTCGAGACAGACGTGTGTCCTGTGGGTGGCCCTCTGTTTACCTTGCCCCCGCTGACAGGGTGGTGAGTCTCTGCGGGCTGCGGAGTGACGTGGGCTGGCCCTTCCTTGCTGGTGCTGCTCGGGGTCACGACTGGTCCTTGCACAGCTTTCCCGCTGATACTCATGAAGATGCCAATTTGTATCTAATCTCTTAGTCTCAGTGGTGGTGTTTGTCTGCTGCTCTGTGTAGACAGAGGCTATGGTTTTAGGCATCTGGGAAGTCATCAGACCGGGTTAGCGCACCAGCGCAGCCCTCTTACTGGTTATGCCACCTTGAGCCCACAGAGTGAGTGGCTAACGACCATATTGTAAGGTGTGGGAGAGTCAGTAATGGGAGACCATGACTGTGACCATGTGTAGTGTCTGCAGCATCTTCTGTGCCCAGAGAATATCAGTTCCCCTTTCCAGAAACGGGACCGCGTCCTCAAGATGCAGACTGTGTGCTCTTCCCAGGTACTGATAACTCTTTGAAGCTGTAACACAAAAAGGGAGGAGCAGGGGGCCTTCTGCTATAATAAGATAGGTGTTTTCCTCCAAAAATATTTGTTATGTAGGAACCAGACAATAAAACTAATAAAACTTTGAGGAAAAACATAGTTGGGGCATATATTTAAAACAATATGCAACAATAATCATTCTCATAATAGTATAGACACAGTTTAGAAAACACATTCAATCCTTAAAATAAATACCCCAGGAACTCTGGGACTTCATACACCCATGCACGCATGCGTGGGCATGTGCCTTTGTGGGTGTGTGTGTGTAATTGTGTGATAGTAGCCTGGCGGGAGGAGGGGAAAGGCAGGGCCAAGGCTGCTGAATGTGGAGAAAAGGACAAAAGGCACAGTGATGAGGGGGAGAACTTCCCGCCAAGTGGTTGCGAGGCAGCATCTGGCTAGACTGAGGCTGGAGGAAGCCCTGGGGTGAGTGGGCCTTTGGACCATGCCCCATCACAGGGTGCTTCGTTCAGCTGGGTGACTGTACTTGGCCTTCAGCGGTCATTCCTTATGGAGGCAAAGCATTAACATGCAGGGAAATTCATGTACAAAACTGAGACCACTCCTATGTTGACATGACATTGTGCCCTGATTATATTTAAAATAACTTGCATTCCAGATTCTATGAAGCTCATTGCCCAACTGATAAATCAGCCTGTTTCTCTTCCTGCTAGATAAGAGCCTGAAGTATAAAATTTTATCAAATTGTGGTTAAAAAAAAAAAACATAAAACTTACCATCTCAACCATTTTTTAACGTCCACTTCGGCCCTGTTAAGTGTGTTCACATTGCCATGGAGTGGATTTCTAGCAGCCTGCAGAATAGAAACTGTGGACCCATCAAACAGCATTTCCCCATTTGCCCCTGTCCCCGCAGTCCCTGATAACCATCATTCTACTTTCTGTTTCTACAAATTTTGGTACTTTAGAGACCTTACATAAGTGGAAGCAGATAGTCCTTTTGTGACTGGCTTATTTCACTTAGTATAATGTTCTCAAGGTTCATCCTGTGGTAGCATGTGACAGGTTTTATAAAACATAAGATGCTTCAAAGTATGTTATCTCACCCCAAATTAATTTGGGGAGCTAGCTTGGGCTAGGGGTGGGAGGTGGGGGTACAAGGACATGCTTTCCTTATATAACAAAGGAAGGATTCTTGTTGAGGTTAGCTCCCTGTCCTGTGACTCTCCCAGGTAATTTCTTTACGTCTCTGAGCATCAGTTAACTCTAAAAAGCAGACGTTTTGTGCTAAAAGACAGAAATCAACAGGGAGCTCTGTCAGACATCACAGGACACAGTGTGTAAGAGGATATTTCCAGTGCCTGAGAGGTTTTCCCAACTCAGACTGATGCAATTTCATTCCAGAGAGCTCAGAAGTACGCTCAGCAAGTCTTGCGAAAGGAGTGCCGACCCAAGTTCGCGAAGAAGTCCATGTCCCGGTTGTTTGAGCACAGGTACAGCCCAGATTTACCACCTTTCGTGAAGGAGGCCCCTAAGGTGAACGAAGCCGAGTACAAGTATGATCCACCTTTTGGTTTCCGGAAGTTCTCCAGTCAAGTCCAGACCCTCTTGGAGATACTGCCTGAGCATGACCTGCCTGAACACTTGCGAGCCAAGAGCTGTAGGCGTTGTGTGGTTATTGGAAGTGGCGGAATCCTCCACGGACTAGCGCTGGGCCATGCCCTTAACCAGTTCGATGTCGTGATAAGGTACATGTGCTCACCTCCAGGGTCCACCTCACTGCTGTTGCTTCGCGTCACACCAGCAACAGGGAGGGATACAGGGAGCACCGCCAGTCCCTGCCCACAGGGGGCTTACTGCCCGAGAAATGATGGATGCCCCACACTGTGCCACACTGATCCTAATTTGGCAGAACCTTTGCAGAGAAGATGAGGTTTGGAAGGCTGGGTAGATTCAGAAGGAAGCCTGAGCTAGGCAGGACCAAGAAGGGGTGCACAGTGTGGGGGATGAGTTGGTAGGATGCCTGGCTTTGGGGAGCAGGGCTGCGTATGGGTGCGCCCTGCAAGGGGACCTAGGAAGCACACGGTCTGAACTCCACTCATCCTAGATTCTTTCTGGTTTCGCTGGCTAAAAATTGTTTTCCTTATAAAAGGAAAATATGTTCATTCTTGAAGATTAAAAAAATCTAGAAAAAGGTAAAGAAGAAAATAACCCCTCGGAGCCCAGATAACCAACCATTATGAATTTGCTGTGTTTTTTCCACTTTCGTTCTATAGACAGACTAATGAGTACATTCATATTCTTATCAAATGGTTTGCTTTTTTAATACAATAATGAACAGTTTCTGAGGCCATTAAATAGTTCTTGGAAAATTAACTCTTCCAAGTGCTTAATATTCCTTTAAATGAGACTATCGTAAGTGATTCAGCAGTTCTCCTATTGTGGGATATTTTGAATTTTTCAGTTTCTTTGTTATTGTGAAAATGCCTTACATAGCTCAAACTTAGGTCTTTATCTCTGATTATTTCCTTGGAAATAATTCTAAGAATTTTTAGAATTGTTAGCTTAAAGATGCTTGGATGTTTTTAAGGCTCTTGAGATGTCGTAATGAATTCTATCTGAAGGATGCACCGAACCAGGAGTACAGTGCCTGCTGGGTCTTCATCAGATTTGCTGAGCCTGAGTGTGTGAGTTTGACTGAAGGCAGGAAAGGCTAGGGCTGGGGATTTCGAGGTTGTGGTTAACACATTCAGTGTGTGGGCCTGTTGTGAGTCAGAGAAAGTGGAAATGGACACTAATGCATTTCCAAGGGGTATACTGAAAAAGTAAATTATGGGACTTTCTGGCAGCTTGCTGGTTAACATCAGAGGACAGCCGGATTTCTAGTCTGGGGGGGTCTTAGGCGTTAGTGGAACTGCTGTCAGGAATGGGAGTTGGGGAAAATCTCTGGTTAGTGAGGAGGATGACAAGATCCATTTCAGATATTTTGAGCCTAAACGTGGTGTGTTCACATAATGCCTTTGTCCCCAGTAGCTGTGATTTCAGGCAAGTTTCCTACCTGTCTTGGGCCTCTGTTTCCTCATCTGGAGGCAGTAACAAGTACGCACCTTCTAGCCTCACCATGAAGACAACATGAGTTCACAGACGTAAAGCACTTAGAACTTAGTGTAAAGCATTTAATGCTGGGCACGGGCTAATTGCTCAATAAATGGTAGCACCTGTTTTTGGAGAATGTGTACAAAGGTAGGGGGGCACAAGAAGAGGGGGCAGGGGCCGTAGGGTGTTTGTAGAAAGAACCAGACTCTGCTAAGAGCCAAGAGATGGAGGAAATGGGTAAGAGCCTGGTTTAAAGGCAAAAGGGTTGCGGTAGGCCCCAGTGGTCAGAAAGCAGGCATGGCGTGAGGTGAGGGAGTAGGAGTGGGGTTGGGCTTTGAGGACTGTAAGGGTTGGGGTAAAGAAGGCGGTAACTGCTGCCTTGTACCAGATGCTTTCCGTGGGCCAGACGCTGTGTCACGTGCTTTAGAGCTTCTCATTCCTCCATGAAGCCATCACTGTTAATGTCACCAGTGAGGATGCTGAGGCACTAGAGGGCCCAGGGTCCAGACCGGATGCCAGCCGTCCAGACGCACGGTCAGAGGCTTTCAGCACCTAATCCCAGGCCCCATGCGAGCAGCTGAAAGCTGTGTGTGCAGGCAGACAGGGCCCTGTGCTCCCCCACCATCTGTGACTCATACAGGAAGAGAGGAGACAAACTGGGGGGGCCAACGGTGCGCACTCTGGGCCAGAAGAGGGGTGTGGTGGGGGGAGGCAGGGGGCCCTGCAAAGCAGTGGGATTGGGTACTTCAGGGAGGAGGCAGGCAGGGCGAAGGTGGGTGTGGAGCCTCACCCTGGCAGGAGGAGTGTTCCCAGCACGCCGGGAAGGCGCACACATGAGTATGTCTTTCCACTGTGTCGGCTTGATTCAGTCACAGAGCAAAGTTAAATCACAGTCAGAAAGCAGGTTCAGGATTCCAAACTCAAATGACTGCTCACCATGTGATTCAACTTGGGTTCTGACAGAGCATACAGACAAGCCACACAAAAAACAAGGTAAGCAGAAGGGCACAGGGAGTGAAGGAACCAAATGTGAAGTCCGTCTGTGGGCGCGTGGTTGAGATAAGGCCTCAGTCACGTCTGGCTCAGCTCTGGGCACTTCCTCCTTCCGATGTTCCAGCAGGGAAGGCTCTCGGTTCTGCTCAGACATCAGTCAGGCGGAGCCTTCCGGCCTTTTTCAAGTGGTCAGATAAAGCAGGGTCAGGCCTGAGGTGTCTGATAGTTTGCTGCCAAAGTCCTCCCCCTTTAAAGGGGTTAAATTCATCTTGGGGCCCTGCAGACCACCTGTGGTTCTGCTCCTTAGCAGTCCTGGGGGGTCAGCTGACGCGGGTTCCGGCGATCTCTCCTAGCTGCTCTACCTTACCTACCCGCATCATTGCTAGACTCTGGTCCCTGCCTGACGTGAGAGACTCCACTTTGCTCTCTCCAAGGAGAGTGGAGCTGAGAGAGTGGGCAAGGGGCAGGAAGGCAGCCTGATGCCCAGTGGTGGCCCACATGTTACCAGACTGGGGAGTGTGGACTTCATATGTGGCCACTGGGAGGCCACTGAGTGCCGGGGACAGAGAAATGGTGGCTTAGCCTGATTATGAGGGAGAATATCAGTTAAGAAGCTGCATGTTATGAGGGAATAACTTTTAGGTTTGAAACAGTTCCAAATTTAACAGAAAAGTTGCAGGAATAGTACAAAGACCCTCCCATTCACCCTTCCCCCCACATTCTCCAGCTGGTAACAACTTTATCACAGTGCTTTATGATTTTCTTTCTATCTATACTATTATCCTTTTCTGAATCCTTTGATAGTCAGTTGCAAGTATCAAGCCCCTTTACCCCTAAATAAATCCGTGTGCATTTCCTAAGAAAAAAGACATTCTATTCTAGAACTGCAGAACCACAGAACAGTATGCGGAATTAGGAAATGAACACTGAGAAAATACAGGTTCTATATATGTACTTATATAATGTCCTTTATTTTAAAAAAGAAAAGGGGCACCTGCTTGGCTCAGTTGTTGAGCATCTGCCTTCGGCTCAGGTCATGATCCCAGGGCCCTGGAATCAAGTCCCACATCGGGCTCCCTGCTCAGCGGGAAGTCTGGTTCTCCCTCTCCCACTCCCCCCTGCTTGTGTTCCCTCTCTCCCTGTGTGTCTCTCTCTGTCAAATAAATTAATTTTTAAAAATAATATTAAAATAAAAATTGGAAAGAAAAGTGGGGTGGGGGGGAATAACTGCCCTGGGGCATGCCTTTCATTTGGTCTCATGTGTAATAATATCTTTTGATAATCCGGAGGTAGGTAGGTATCAGATCTAGAAGAAGGGGCAGTAGAATAGAGAAGAAAGCCGAGATCTAGGTGTGATAAATACAGATGTGATAACACAAGTGTGATAATACAAGGGAAGAACCAAACAGACTGTGAGATTACTAAACTCTTTAACTAGGTGGGTGGTGGTGCTTTCAAAAGAATTCTTAGAATCTGCTCCAAAACTATGACACTGGGAAGAGCCTTTGTTGATCTAACAGTTCTAAGTGTCCCAAGTCCTTGCTCTACGGATGCATCTGGGCCCGATGCCCTCCTTGGTCCCAACCCTGTCACTACAATTGTGGTTTGGGTCTGCCTCGCCTGGATTCTCCGTTTGCTTTCTGATTGCCTTTCTGAAATTCTGGCAAGAACCCCTATTATCTGAGCATAGCGGGAAGCTTTCAAGGAAACATTACTGATGTCCAAAATATATGTTTGGGCTTAAAATGGCAGGATTATTTGGAATTGCTTGACATTCATAGAGGAGGTGTGGGCGTCCCTCAAGGACTCGAGGCTGTTGGGAGGGAGGCCTTACCCCCCCAACCCACAGCTCACTCCCAGCCCTATAGACATGCCGGGGACACAACAAGGGATCTTGCGCGATGTGATGAAGTAGTTGATGGCTTGCTTTGTCAATTTATCTTTGTCTTTTTTATTCAAATAGGTTAAACAGTGCACCAGTTGAAGGATATTCTGAGCATGTTGGTAATAAAACTACTATCAGGATGACTTATCCAGAGGGCGCGCCACTGTCTGACCTTGAATATTATTCCAATGACTTGTTTGTTGCTGTTTTATTTAAGAGTGTTGACTTCAACTGGCTTCAAGCAATGGTAAAAAACGAAACCCTGGTAAGCACTAGAAATGCAGCTCTCCGGTGTTCTTTCACAAAAAGTGGAGGGGTCTCTAACTGTAATTACAGACTTCTATTTTTAAACAAACACAGTGGAATGTATACAGTTGACCCCTGAACAGCATGGGTTTGAACTGCATGGGTCCACTAGTACACAGATGGTTTTTGATAAACACAGTGCAGTACTGTAAAGGCATTTTCTCTTCCTTTTGATTTTCTTAATAATGTTTTCCTTTTTCTAGCTTGCCTTATTGTAAGAATACAAAAATACATACCCAAAATACGTGTTAACTGTTTATATTATCGGTAAGGCCTCTGGTTAGCAGTGGGCTACTAGTAGTTAAGTTTTGGGGGAGTCAGAAGTTCTCTGTGGATTTCAGCTACTTGGGGAGGAGATGGTGGCGCCCGTAATCCCCATGTCATTCAAGGGTCAATTATACTTTTGTGTTGTCTTTTAAATAACTACTGCCTTTGTAGAAACCGTCAGTACTCCTTTTTGGGAACTACTTTCAGAATTTAAGATTAAGTCACATCGAAATTGTGATCACACTTAATGGGAATATCAGGTTTTGGACCAAAATTGTTATTACTGCTCACCTAACGTGTTCACCAGGTTTGAATTTACATGTCTTTTGACTAATCCAGAAATTACATTTACTGGGATGAATATAAACCATTATTGTGGATTTTCAAAAGGATATATGTAAAACCTCTAGGAATGTTCCCCAAGAGATTGTCTAAAACTGTTGTGCTGGCGGTCCCCTTGTTGGAGGAAATGCACCGAATTCCAGAGGGGCAGCCATTGAGGAAATGGCCTGCATGAACTCAGCCATATTCCCTTTTGTTCATTATAATAATTGATCATATTATTTTATGGTTGCCCCACCCATTATGCTGAAGTAAATTTCAGAGGTCAATGGTCACATTTATAGACGCACATAAAAACTAGCTTTCTGTAAAATTAATAGGATATATTAGACTTTCCATATAAGCATCATCTGATGGAGAATTTCTCTCTGCAAAGCCTGATATAACTTATCATGATCTTCTGGATTTTCCATTGGATAGAAGTTGGTCTAGTTGGATGAAGCACGTGGGAGGTGACTTGCAGTCAGCTACCAGGAGACTTCACAGAACTAGGAACTAGACCAAGTCAGCCGAGGGAGGATGCAGGGGGAGGGTCTGATCTAAGTGGGACACTCATGACACTTAAATACCCTTAAATTAGATCTGTTCACCCGGTCTTCCTGGGGACATATGATGCTTTTTGGGGTCGTTTCCTGGGGAATATCTTCTCCAAACAAACCAGAGCTGGTTCTGCCCTTCCTCTTCTTGTCCAGTGCCACCTTCGTAAACCAGGTCCTTTGGGGTTGCTCCTCTGAGTGGGGGCATCAGACGCGTCCATCTCAGGGACTGTGCTGCACAGTGCAGCCCCCCAGCGCACGTGGGGTCCCACCCACATCTCCTGGGCTGCTTAGCAGGGGTGCGTGCTCACCTTCTGATGGCAGGAGAGCTTTATTCAGTCCCTCTAATGATTCCTTCTTTCTTCCCTTAGCCATTTTGGGTGCGGCTCTTCTTTTGGAAGCAGGTGGCGGAAAAAATCCCACTACAGCCGAAACACTTCAGAATTTTGAATCCAGTTATTATCAAAGAAACTGCCTTTGACATCCTTCAGTACTCAGAGCCCCAGTCAAGGTTCTGGGGCCGAGATAAGGTACTTCTGTTGCGATGGAAAGTTAACTGTTTGTCTCTGTGTTGGAAGGGAGACCTCCGTACAAATTTTACGTAGGCTCAGTTATATCCCCAGAAGCATCTCCCGGTGTAGAAACATAGTCAGTGATCACAGGCTTGGTGCGTGTTGGCTGTTCTGCATCTTGACTTCAGGCCCCCTTAGTGTTTACTTGGCTTCTCCCTTGGTGACTCATCTCCTTCGTATAGTCCACATGTTAACATCTTGGTCACTGAGATACTATTTAAGGTGTTCTGACCCTGGGACTCCAGAGTGAAAGGCACTTTGGTGGTCTGGAAAGTTCTTTACATTTTTTTTTTTTTTTAAGGTGATTTTGTTTATTTACTTGACAGACAGAGATCACAAGTAGGCAGAGAGGCAGGCAGAGAGAGAGGAGGAAGCAGGCTCCCGGCCGAGCAGAGATCCCGATGCGGGGCTCGATCCCAGGACCCTGCGATCACGACCTGAGCCGAAGGCAGAGGCCCTAACCCACTGAGCCACCCAGGTGCCCCAGTTCTTTACATTTTTAACTCTGGGCCGCTCAAGTCAGACTTGACATTTACCATCACTTTAGAGGTGATGGTAAGTAAAGTTTGCCTGCTAGAGCAGTGTTTTCCATTGATGCTTGGGTCCCATCCCAAACTTTCTATTTAACTGTTCTCTGCTGTGGTCTGTACTTTGGGATTTTCAAAGTCCCCTGGGTAGTTTTATTTTGCAGCCTAATTTGAGAACCCCCGTGCCTTCTGTAGTTCTTTCACTGCAATAGAAATTCTTTTCCTGCAAAGCCGGTGCTGATACCGGGAGGATGGCAATGCCTTTATTATTGGTTTCTTTGTGAGTTGTGTCTTTAAAAATAACTTTTTTAAAAGCAGTGGAAATCATCTTTAAACTTTTTTTTTTTAAAGATTTTATTTATTTATTTGACAGAGATCACAAGTAGGCAGAGAGGTAGGCAGAAAGAGAGAAAGGGAAGCAGGCTCCCCGCTGAGCAGAGAGCCCGATGCGGGGCTTGATCCCAGGACCCTGGGATCATGACCTGAGCTGAAGGCAGAGGCCTTAACCCACTGAGCCACCCAGGTGCCCCCCCCCCCGCTTTTTTAATGCAGAGTTTAAACTCATGACCCTGAGATCAAGACCAGAGCTGAGATCAAGAGTTGGGTACTAAACTGACTGAGCTACCCAGGCCACCCCCTTCTTAAACTTTTAAGCAAAATCTCTGTATATAAAGGAAAGCAAGGAATTTAGAAGTGGGGGTGGGGCACTTCTTACACTGGGGGCCTGAGATATTGTATAGCAGATACCTGAGGCTGGTCAGGGTCACTATTTGTAGACACTGAATTAGACTCTTAGATGTGGTCAACCAGTATCAGTAGACAGATTGGCAGGTTCTTCTGTTTTCCCGATAAATAAAATTCTCTCTCTCTCTCTTTTTTTTAAGATTTTATTTATTTGAGAGAGAGAGCATGAGAGAAGAGGAGGAGCAGAGGGAGAATCAGGCTTCCTGCCAAGCAGGGAGCCCAGTGTGGGACTCAATCCCAGGACCCCGAGATCATGAGCTGAGCCAAAGGCAGACGCTTAACCAACTGAGCCACCCAGGTGCTCCCCCAACCATGAGTGAAATTCTAATTTAAAATGTTCTTTAAAACACCTGTGTAAATCTTGAAGAATTCTCTGCTTACTAGGAAAAACAAATCCCTAAATAGTCTCCTTAAAACAAAAACTAGTTCTTTGTGCTGCTCTGGTAACAGCTAACTCCAGCTCTGGCTACAGCCTGAGGCTTGACTGCCCAGCTCAGTATTGTGTGAGTGTTAAGGATGCAGGAAAACGAATGGATAAGAAAACACCTCCATACTGTAATAAACAAGAAAATCAAGTTACTGAGCATGTATACTGTCCCATTTTTGTTTAAAAGTAAGAATGTGTGTATAGAGATGCATAGAGAAAAGCTTGAAAGTAAACAGCAGATTGGGCTCGCGTTGATGCACACGGCTTTCCAGCAGGGAGGGAGGTCTGGTGGATGAGGGGGTGTGATCCTAGGGGGTCCATTCTGGAAAGAGCATGCTCTGAGCGGTTCTTCATGGCTTCTGAGCTGCTCTCCACACACGGCCCCTCCGCGCAGCTGGTTTCACGTACTCCTTCTATAAACACTGATTGAGTTTTCCCGATGGGCTAGGTACAGAGCCGGTCACAGGTAAGAGAGGACACTGCTTTAGGGTCCTGTGGCTAAACAGGAAGACATCTTCCTTTGGGTTAATTTCTCTTGTCTTCAGCAACTGTTGAGTTTCTTTTAACGAGTGACGCAGATGCTTCACATCAAGGAGCAGAAGGTGACTTTGAACAAATGATGAGTTCTGTAGAGCGTCCTTAATCCATTTAAACTATCAACTCTGAAGGGTTCACTGTTGTTCCAGTTGATGGAAAAGGAGAGTTGTTTCTGGGAAGCCACAGACTCAAGTAGGATGAACAAAGCAGGTACATTTACACATGAAAAACTGTGCAACCAAGAGTGTCATTATAGGTAACCGGTGGCCTTCAGGGAGTGCTTCGACTGCTGTAGGGCCTTCTGTACTTCTCTCTGCCCTGTGTACCGATTTTGCCCAAGACTGGGACAGAGATCCAGAAAGCACGATTCCAGATTGGCAAGGGGCAAAATAGCATACGTGAGGGAGGGAGTGGTGATATCAGAATCCAGAACATTGAGACATTTGGCACATTAAGCTACAGTCAGTAGGATACCTTTTAGAAGGAACAAATGTGGATACCCTTCATTTGGGCCTAAAAATTGCCCACACAGAGGGTGGGCAGAAATTGGCTTAGCAGCTGTCTATGTGAAAATGGCCTAGAAGCGTTATTTGCCAGGAAAGCAAAGGAGGGCCTTCGGTGGGATGTAGTTTCAGGTGAGAAGTGAGCACGGTCTTCGCTGGCAGAAGCGGAGGCTGCTCTGTTCTCAGGCAGAGACCATCCGTAGGAGCCAGCAAGGAAGGGCCGGCCTCCAGAAACAGGTCCCAAGAAGGATGGTAGACAGTCCTGTGGACGTTCCTAGTTCCAGAGCAGAACTTATAGATACTCGTTGTGTCAGAAAGGAAGTGGACTTGCTTTGCGGTTCTGGTCATCACGTATTAGACCAGGAGGTAGAAGTCTTACAAAGAACACATTTTTGTTTGGTGCAAGAGGACCTGCCAAGCCACCTCTCGGTGGTGTGTTCTAAGGTTTTCACATCACAGACCACGTTTCAGAGTCTAGATTCAGACTTCAGGATTCTGTGATCAATGAAACTGTGCGCTGTATAAAATGGCAGCCCCCCGGCTGCATCTGTGACCGACAGAGCGTGCGTGCCACTTGGAAAGCAGTGAATGGCCCTAAGCCTTGTCTTTTCCCCTTTTTCAGAACGTGCCCACCATTGGTGTCATTGCTGTCGTCCTAGCCACGCACCTGTGTGATGAAGTCAGCTTGGCAGGCTTTGGATATGATCTCAATCAACCCAAAACACCTTTGCACTACTTCGACAATCTCTGCATGGCTGCCATGAACTTTCAAACCATGCATAATGTGACAACGGAGACCAGATTCCTTGTCAGGCTGGTCAAAGAGGGTGTGGTGGAGGACCTCAGCGGAGGCATCCATTGTGAATTCTGAGCACAAACAAACCTCATCTGACAATGCAGCTCCAACTCTGAAGGCTGGTTTTTCAGAGCCTTCTCCATGACTGCATCCTGCAAATCCTTTGAAGTGCAGCCGGTGTTTTTAACTTTTAATTTAAAAAACATGATAAACAAGTTTCACTCTTCCCACTCCGTCCCCACTATTTATTTGAGGTCAGTGTTTTTGCACAACATTTTGTAAGATAATTTTGAGAACTGACTTGGAAAGACTTTTCAAAGAGACTTGTATGTAATGATGTTTTATTGTGTTTTAAGAACGTTATTTAATTTGTAAAAACTCTGTGTCTACTGCACATAGAATACCAGGTAACTGAGTAGAAGGAGAATGGAGGTCACTCCTTCCTTGAGAGCCCTGAATTCCAGATTCTGGTTCCCTGTCACTGTTTGGCGGGACGCATGTCTGAGGCGCTTCCGGGATGACGTGCTCAGTAGCTAAACCATGGGTACCAGGTCAGCTGTGCTGCTGCGTGAGGCCTGGGCAGGTCGGAGAAGTTCCCGGCCCCTCTCTGTTGGTCTGCCTTCTGCCAGAAGACTTGCTGCCGTCCACCAGAGGATCTGTCCTAGCTGTCCCTGGCCAGAGAGGGACACAGAAGACATTTTCTGCATCTTCAGAATATATAAAGCCACCCAGGGCTGCAGAAGCCACTCTGTCCCCTGAAATGATGACAGCTCTTGAATTTCCCGAGAGGTTTTTTTTGTTGTTGTTGTTGTTTTGTTTGTTTTTTTTTTACTGCCCTTCCAAAGCACTTAAATATTAATCGGTGGCTTAGAAAATTTAGCACACAATCTCTGTCCTCCAAAGTTGTAGAAGGATAAACCCTTTCCAAGAATAGTCACATTTTCTGAAACACTGAAATAAAATCCTCCCAGTGTTATAAATTGCCTATTTAAAAAAAAAAAAAAGTTTTTTTTTAAATGCCTACCTGGCAGTGTGTACCAGTTAGTGTGCAGGTAAAAAAAAAAACAAAAAAAAGAAGCAGAAGAATAAAAGCTTTTGAGGAGCTCTCATAGTCTACTTAATTTGAGCACTTAAAAAAAAAAAAGAAAAGTCTATAATCTCCCCGAAATGTCCTTGAATGCTGCTAGGTGGAGACGTCAGTGGGGGATGCTGGCAGGGAGCAACAGCGGATGGTGCCTCATCCTGCCAGGGGGCCACACCCCAGACAGCTGGTGAGGGACTCTTGGAGAGATGTCAAGTGCCAGTGGCTTCCTCCTGGAACACAGGCTCGTTCCAGCTTCTGTCTTGGTCATCTGAGGGTCAGCAGCTACTTTGCTCCCTCCCTGCCCTGTCCAGTTCTCACCTGCATTCACCGCTTCTGCGATCCTGGTCCCCTGCAGCTCTGCTGTCTTTGGCATCTGCGCCCCCCCACCCCAGCACATGCAGGGTGGGGAGCCTGTCACAGCACACGCACAGGAGCCCTTGGATCTCTGGGGCCCTGGGGTCAAGCTCAGAGTCGCCGGCATCACCAAATAGTATTTCTCTGGGTTGGTGACTTCACATTTTCTATGGATTTTGCTTTCTCTTTTATAAAATACTGTTTCAAAGAAAATGCTTGGAAATGTTCGCCAGCTAAGTGACAGCATTGAAACTTGAGAGTAAGGAAGATAGTCTATGGCTGGCTGTGACTCAGGGAAGGCCAGCCCTTCTCTGCCCCAGCCCTCAGCTCCAACCCCTCATCCTTCAGGGGCTACTTGAAACCTGATTTTTTTTTTTTTTTTTTAACAGTTTGAAGCCAGAGTTTGAACTCCTTAGACAACTTCCCCGTGGGCCCACATGGACTCAGGAGCCACTGCCGTGCTGGGCCGCTGGGAAGTGTGTGGCTCCAGGCCCGGCACCTGGCAGCTTCCAGCCCATCTCGGGCCTGGCCCTCCGCCCACCCCTCCTCCGTACATCCCTTGTTGCATCCTTACATGGCTTTTCCCAGGCCTCTCGCCTTTGAATTCCTAGCAGCGAGGAAGTGCCCAAAGTGCATAAAAAGGCATACTTTTCTCAGAGAACTTTCGTGGCGTCCACCAGCCGGTTGGAGTTGATCAGAGACCGTCTTCAAGAACTTTGAGCACTTTGGCAGCTGTGTGTTAGAAGTGCCTCCTGGGCTTTGCAGTTCCTCCTCCTTTACCCCAACCCCAACACACTCACCCTTTGGGGAACCCACCTCTAGGTGCTTCCGGATGTCACAGGTAGAGTGCCAATAACAGGCTTCATGTCGCCCTCTGGCTTCGTAGGTGCACGCACATCCCTCTCATGTGGCTGTGGTCCTTGATTTTGAGGCAACTGAGGATAGCTTCCACATGTTCTGTATTTTAACATACATCTTACCAGAACTTTGGGCCACAGAAAATTTCAGTGGGTTGTACAGTTTGGGGTTTTTTTTTTTTTTTTTTCTTTTTCTCTCCTACAGAGAGCAGATTGTCTCCAGAAACCTAGGCTGGCCTTAGGAAAATGCCTGTGGACTGGATGAGTATCTCCCTATGACATGGGTCACGTTTTTAGGCAAAGCTGGATTGCATTTTCTAGACAACCTCATGCATTCTAGGTATTCCCCTTCCCTTCATGGCTCCTTTGTGTGGCATGGGGGTTTTCATTTCCCAAGAATATATTGATAAGGCATTGGCAATGTCCGTTTTCACAGATTTGGGGGGTGTCATCATTTGTTGGGCCCATTAGTTAAAATCAGTTGTCAGGCCAGCTTTTTGACTCAACTGCTCGTGTTAAACAGGGATGAGCTCAGTGGAGTTTGCGTGGCTGACACAGAGGGTCAGTTGTAAAAGAAAAAAAAAGTCATGCCCCAGTATCCTAAGGATATCGAAGATTTCTAAAACCAAGGACCACTTCTTCGTGGCTGTATTCCAAACCCAGTGCTCTGGGACTTGATTATCAAAGGGATTGTTGACTTGGCCTTGTTACTGTCTCAAGAGACCCTTTTAGACCAGCATCATAGGAAGATTAAGAAATAGCGACTTATTCTCCTCCTTGGCAGGTTTACAGCACCCGAGTGTGGTCTACCTTTTCATCTTTTCTCTGGGACCCTTCAATAAGGTTCATTGAGAAGGAAGAAAAGGACTAGTTCCTGTGAGTTAGCACAGTTGCCCCTGGAATGCAGTGAGCTTTTAGTAAGCTTGCAGAGCCAGCAGGAACCGTGTGACACCCCGCCTCCCTCCCATTCACACGCGGTAACAAAATGCTTCTCTCAAACAAAGGAGCTTGTGTTTGCTCCCCAGGCACTGACCCTCCGTGAGGGTCACACACTCGCCTCGAAGACTGTAGCACAAAGGACAAAGGGAAGCTGGTCCCAGGACACAGAGCACCAGAATACACATCTTTCTCTGTCCTTCCCCACTTCCCAAGGTCATCGTAGGCCACGTGGATTTGCGTGCTCAAAACATGGTATTTATCTCCCTTTACCTACAACCAACACTCAATATAAGACTGAAGTAAATTGGGCAGGAGAACTATTCATTACATGTACACTCACATGTCATGGACTAGAAATTAACGTCCCCCCACAAAGGAAATTGCAGTCTTGGTAGTTCTGCTTTCATTATTGAAATGATTAGATTTGACCAATTCCCAATATTAAATTTCAATCCACTGAGCAGAGAAGAAAAGCATCCATCTTTAGATGGCTACAGTAGAACAAAAAGTAAAGGCTATGAAATTTGGCTCTAACTTTTTATAAAAGCAGATCTCTCTAGTGAGCTGTGTCAGTAAAACATGTAGGAAGGGAGACAAGTTTACAAATTTCCTCTGGAAAGAAGTGGGCTGTCAGGTTTTGAGTTGGCCTTTGTGTGCCTAGAAAAGGAGTGAAGTGAATTGTCAGAAAATGCAAACATAAAAGAAATCGAATTTTCACTAGATACCCCACAGAAGCAATGCTCGTAACGGATTATACACCAGAAATTTGGTAATTTCTAAAAGCAATATATTTTCACTCTCCTGTTACCTGACTTAAGTTTTTTTAACTTCTTGAAGAAAATTGGTTCCAAGGAAAATTGATATTTAAAACAATGAGTTCATTTAAAATGTTGATTAGGTCCTTGACAGGAAAGACCATGCTGCACTACCAGGCAGTGACATGAATGTGACAGGTGACAGAAGACAGCATGGCAGTGAGGGCCAGTTGAAGGCGATTAGGGACAAGAGTCAGATGCAAAAGTCATTTTGAATGGGCTGGTTAACATATCAAGATATCCTATCAGCCTGGTTTCATTTGGGTTGGGAAGAAACGGACTATCAGCTCTAAAGCAATGAAAATTTGAGAGGACCTCTGTAATTAAGGGATGAACTCTCTAGAGACAAAATTTTGTACTTTATTCCATCCATAGCACCTATAACAAGGCCTTGCCTATTCTAGAACACAGGTAACTAAAGCAGTAAATGAACACATGACTTTTTCTATATGTAATTGTCTTAGTGACTTAAATGAATCTTAAAAGAATATGCCAGAAGCTAAATAGGCCTGCTTAGTGGCTATATACATATCCATACATTGCGGAAAACCAACTTATTACTGAGGCTTCCAAAATAGGTGTGTGCCCTATCTTTTCAAGGACCTGCTGTATTGTTGTGACTGATCATAAAAAGTTTATGGAGATCTTCATCTCCGTTTCTGACATACCACTCCCTAGACCCTTGGAATTTCCCAAGTCTTGAGAATGATTAAGATGTTTTGTGTAATGTTAATGAGATGCCTTTTGGAAAGCACCTGGAGATGGGGACACCAGAGGAAGCAACCAAGTGATTTCCATGCCACCCACCCTCCCACCCACCCCAGACCTCTGGGGAATAGAGAGGAGCTGAAAATTACAATCATTCACCAATGGCCAACGACTTAATCAACCATGCCTATGTAATGAAGCCTCTGCAAACCCCCAAAAGGATGGGGTTCAGAGAGCTTCTGAGCTGACAAACACATGGAGACTGGGGAGAGTGGTTCACCTAGAGAGGACATGGAAACTCCCAGCCCTGTCCCTCCATACCCTGCCCAATGCCTCTCTTCCATCTGGGTCTTCCTGAGTTCTATCCTTTTATAATAAACCAGTCATCTAGTAAGTAAAATGTTTGAGTTCTGTGAGGTGCTCTAGTAAACTAGTCAACCTGAGGA